ATTATTATATGAAAATCAAAATAAGCATAAGGGACCGATATATACATAATATATACATAACATATAGTATATATATAGTATATATATAGTATATATATAGTATGTATATATATAGTATATATATAGTATATAGTATATATATATATATATATATATATATATATATATATATATATATATATATATATATATATATATATATATATATATATATATATATATATAGTATAAGTATGTTAACGCATGTTATTGTAGATTTGCATGTTATTTTGTAATGTATATGTATATTGAAGTTGAAATTTATAATGCAGGACCCCACTGAAAAACACTTCGGTGACGTGGGTATCCTGGATAAATATAAATATAACAAGACGCCTACTCAGGCGTTCACTCCGTGTATAAGGCCTTAACTAACGGCGCAAAGCTACTTTAACGTACTATGCTGATATGCGGCAATGAAGGTATCTTTAATGCATGATATTCAGTAGCATATTAAAGTTGGAAAAGTGGGAGAACTACAGCGTGCCACTTGACCAGGTGACTAAAAACATGCAATGATCATAATATTTTTAACATAAAAATAAAAGGACATTGTGACACTGATTATCTCTAATAAAAGCTATCTACAATCAGTGACAAAAGGTTTTTAGACAGTGGTATAATATATACATATCTCCGCATTTCCAAATACTGTTCAGCATAAAGCCACTATCCCTCCCTCCCCCACCCTAAACAATGTTGGGTGGCTGGCAAGGAACATTTTGCGCAGGTATTTCCACACACAACATTGAACGGGGGGTGCGGGGGGTCGATTATGTTGTAAACGTACGCTGTTTAGCTATTTTGTCCAAAGTGTTTTGTCACTGATTGTAGTTCTTTATTAAAAGAGTTCTATTTAAAAGTGTTTTTTCGAGTCGTATATAATATGTCGGAGGCCGTATTTTACAAATATTTTATGTTTTTTTTATTGTCGAGGGTAGAAATTCGAGGGTGAAAAGCTTGAGGGTACATTTTAATAATTTAACAAAATAATAATTTAAGTTCGTGTACACTTACTTTACTTTTAATTTTTAGCTCTTATTTTTATATGCAATTATTAATTTTTTATATGCGATTACTTTTTATATGACAAAATATTACTACATAAAAATAGAAATGCCGATCAAAAGCTACAGTCGACATAGTTTCAAACGGCGTGGTGCATTATCTGCGTTATCTTGGATTGCATGTTATTGTATCAGTCTATTCACTATATGGTCTATTGAATCAGAGTAATCAGGACTTGTTTACACCTTGCCATTGCCATACGCCTTTTCCGGGTTCGCGACGCCATCTTCAAAGTATTGTTTTCGCCATTGTGCTTGCCGCACTTGCAAATTTATCTATAGGGAATGCCCGCATATTTCTATCCTCGACAATAAAAACCATAAAATATTTTAGAAATAAGACCCCGGACTTTTTATATATGACCCTCGACTTTTTTATATGACCCTCGACTTTTTATATATGATTTTTCGACCCTCGCTTCCCACCCTCGACCCTCGAGAAGAACTCCTGAAACTGAATTACTAAAAATAGCTAACGTAAACAAACCACATTTATCAAACACGCAAAGAAAATTATTTAAAAAGTAATATATTGTTAGTCGTGTCATATAGTTAATTGTCAACACTTTTCCAATGCATGGTAGTAAGTTCATAACTGGCACCATAACTCATAATTAAGTTATGTTGATATTTTGTTTATACAGATTGATTGTTTTAATTTGTAAGGCTTCGCTGTAAGTTTGTTATTATCAAACGTTTAGATTGTTTTAAGCATCTTAGTAATGATTTTACTTTAAGACCAAGACATTGCAGCCGTCGAGACCGATTTTTAATACTCTATAAATAAAACATTAAACTGTG